CTTCAGCGCCTGCCACTCCCGGTGAGGATTGGAGTCACGATCACCCCTTTCCCTCCGCCTCGGCTGCTGCTGGAAGCGGCAGTCCGGTGATCCGTTCTTTGCAGCTCACCCCGGTGGCTGCCCGCAAGCTTCATCACCTTCAAATGACTCGGGGCGTCCCTGACGAAGACAGCTCTGCAACACCCAGAGCTCGCAAGCGCGCCACGTCCGACCCGCGAAAAGGCGGCCCCGCTGATCAAAGGCAGTCAACATCAGCAAGCGCTTCGGGTGCAGCGACGCCGTCACAATCTGCTACCCGCAGCCCCACTCATCGCCGGCTACGCGTGCGATCCACTGCCAGTGTGACCCCTGGTACGGGCGCAGCGGCATCGGCATTGACTGGTCGCAGACGGGACCGCAATGTCCACTTTCACGCCTCGCCGTCCATCTCTCCAGCTGTCACGAGGGACCACTCGCCTGTACGTCGCGTGGGCTCCTTGCGCGACTTTCGACTTTCTTTGCCGCAGCATGTACCCGGCACTGGGGTGGACCCTCTCCATGCGCGCCGCGGTGGCAGCGGTAGTGAAGGAGAAGACAGCGACCACAGCGCAGCCAGCGGCAAAGTAGGCGAGAAGCTCGGACGTGGTAGGAGACAGACTCCTACCCAGACTCGAAAGGACCCGTCTTCTTCGGCTCTTGGCTTCTTCGCTAGGTGGAGGTCAGGTAGTCGCGGATCAGCGAGCACATCGGGAGACCAAGAGAAGGCGTATAGAGAGTCTCTGCGAGCTCAACAAGCTGCTCAATCACAGGTCACCAGCCCTGTGATCGACGAGACGGATGCTTGGGAGACGACCGAAGCGGAGAGGCATCAATCCCAAGAGATTGACACGCCACCGCAATCAGCCATCGACGAAGCCTTGCAGAACGAGCCCGCGTCACCTCGATTGCAAGTGCCATTCATCGAAGAGCCGCCGCTGAGCGCAGGTCTGAGTGGACCAGCACGTTACTTGTCGCGGCGTTCTCGAAGAGCCGAAAATTTGCCTGGTCACGTCTCGCCATACAATGCCAGCAACCCGTTCTGGGGCTACCCAGCATACGCTTCCAGCAGTGGGGATGGCCACGACTCTCGCTTCAGCTTGCATCAAATGCACCCGCAGCACATGCATGTCCGTCGAAGAAAACGAGACCTATTGCGGACACTGTCGTACCTCTTCGTCCTTCGACTGCTTTCGAGCCATCGCTCGATACGCGCACAAATCATCTACCTATGGCGAAGCTTTGCGCGAGCTGTCAGTGTTGGAGGAGATGCGGACGGCGACGGAGGAGACAAGCGATGGCGGGAAGCGGAGGATCGCTACAAGCGCCTACGCAGCGCTAGCCGTCACGGCGAGGCGCAACAGCTTGCGAGGCAGGAACGAGCGCGTCTGGAGGCTGAACGGAAACGATTGCAAGGGCAGCCTCTGGCGAGGCTTGGTATTCAGCGCCGGTACCTTGTCTTCATCTTGCTGCTTGCGCTCCTTCGCCGGGATATCCGAGCAAGAACGCTCAACGGAGTCAAGGGTACGACGGAAAGCGTCAAAGGCTTCTTGGCTGTGACTGCTGGTCGAGTTGTGCTCGGGCTTCAAGCTGGCGCGCATGCCGAGCCGGACACGGCAGCTGCTGCAGTGTCCTCTGCTAGTTCACTGTCCGGTTTGCACCTTCGCCGAAGACTTGGACTAGGAACGCCTTCTGAGCAGCCCTAACGATGTGCAGAGCGGACGAGTGGGATGAATGCAAGGTCGCGGGTGGATTTGCGGCTACGGGAAGTCATCATATCATGTCTCTTTACTCCTGATTCCATTTCAAATCGCCATTTGTATTGCCTATCAACTTCATGCTGCGTTTATAGACCGC